GAGACTCACTTCTTTCTCACCCCATCTAGAATACTGAGGTGTGTTGCATAACTAGGTGGTGGGGAGCAGCTGGAACAACAGCAGTCACGACTCTCAGAGGGCATCACGGGGACACAGATCCTACTAACTGATTGACAGACTTTTATCAGGAAGCCTGCCCACAAACTCATGAGGAGACCTTGCTTATGGATCCCCAGAACTGGCATCAGGTATCCCCAATGCTCCATGTGTGCCCCCACACCCAATGGCCGGTTCCCTGTGCACACCTCCAGGGTGACAAGAGGTGCCTTTGCAAATGGCTACTAATCACACACAGAAAGCTGGCCTGACTCTGCAGGTTTAAGAGAAAGCACACAAACTTGAGCATTAAGGACTACCCTAAGGCAAGCAAACAGGAGGCTCTTAGCATCTGGCCTAGGGTTACAGAATAGAGAGAGGGCATACAACCTTAAGAATTCCTCCTCAAGAGGGAAGAGAAGTGTGGAGCAGGTGTATCCATAGAAAAGGACTGAGAAAGACTCAGAATCCCCACAGGGCTAATAGAAGCTTTTTCATTCCTTAAACTAGTTGGTAAGACTGGATGAAGTGACTACTTCTTTAAATGAGAAAATTGCAACATAGGCTTCATGAAGCTTGAAAAATCAAGGAATGTGATACCACCAGAGAAACACAATAATTTTTTAGTAAATATCCCCAAAGAAATGGAGGTCTGTGATTTACCCAATAAAGAATTAAAAATAGTTTTTTAAAGGAAGCTCAATGAGCTTCAAGAAAAGAAAGACAGTAAGATAAGGAAAACAATGCACAAACAAAATGAGAACTTTACAAAGATAGAAATCATAAAAAAAAAAAAAGATTCTGGAGGTAAAGAATACAGTGGATGAAATGAAAAATGTAGTAGAGAGCATCAATATCAGACAGGATTGAGCCAAAGAAAGAATCTCTGAGGTAGAAGACAAATCTTTTGAAATTACTCAGGTGAAGGAGAACAAAAAAGAATGAAAAGGAGTGAAGAAAGTGCAAAAGAAACAAAAGCAAAAATGAAATATTGGGACTTCATCAAGATAAAAAGCTTCTCTACAGCAAAGGAAATAGTTAACAAAACTAAAAGGCAACCTTTGAAATGGGAGGAGATATTTGCAAATGTCTTATCAGATAAAGGGCTAGTATCCAAAATCTATAAAGAACTTATCAAACTGAACACCCAAAAAAAAAATTGATCAAGAAATGGGAAGAAGACATGAATGGACATTTCTCCAAAGAAGACATACACATGGCCAACAGACATGAAAAAATGCTCAACATCACTCGGCATCAAGGAAGTACAAATCAAAACCACAATGAGATGCCACGTCAATGAGATACCTGTCAGAACGACTAAAATTAACAACTCAGGAAGCAACCAATGTTGGCAAGGCCGCGGAGAAAGGGGAACCCTCTTACACTGCTGGTGGGAATGCAGCCTGGTACAACCACTCTGGAAAACAGTATGGAGGTTCCTCAAAAAGTTAAAAATAGGACTACCCTACCACCCAGCAATTGCACTACTGGGATTTATTCAAAGGATACAAACATGGTGATTCGAAGGGGCACGTGCACCCCAATGTTTCTAGGAACAATGTCCACAATAGCCAAACTATGGAAAGAGCCCAGATGTCCATCGACAGATGAATGGATAAAGAAGAGGTGGTATAGGGGCGCCTGGGTGGCTCAGTTGGTTAAGCGACTGCCTTCGGCTCAGGTCATGATCCTGGAGTCCCTGGATCGAGTCCCACATCGGGCTCCCTGCTCGGCAGGGAGTCTGCTTCTCCCTCTGACCCTCCTCCCTCTCATTCTCTCTGTCTCAAATAAATAAATAAAATCTTAAAAAAAAAAAAGAGGTGGTATATCTATCTATCTATCTATCTAATCTATCTATACACACATCTGGTATCTATACACACACACGCATACACACACACACAATGGAATATTACTCAACTATTAAAATGAATGAAACCTTCCCATTTGCAATGATGTGGATGGACCTAGAGGGTATTATGCTAAATGAAATAAGTCAGTCAGAGAAAGACAAGTACCATATGATTTCACTCATATGCGGAATTGAAGAAACAAAACAGATGAACATAGGGGAGGGGAGGGAAAAAATAAAATAAGAGGAAAACAGAGAGGGAGGTAAACCATAGGAGACTCTTACCTATAAAGAACAAACAGGGTTACTGGAGGGGAGGTCTGTGGGAGGATAGAGTAACTGGGTGATGGGCATTAAGGAGGACACTTGAAGTAAGGAGCACTGGGTGTTGTGTGTAACTGATGAATCACTGAATTCTACCTCTGAAACTAATAATACAGTATATGTTAATTGAATTTAAATAAAAAAAATTTAAAAGGGAGTATAGAAAGCATATATGAATTATAAGATACCATAAGAAAAAACAGTCTGTGAAATTATTTTACATCATAGTAGCTTGTTTTCTTGTGCATTTGGTGATTTTTTTTAAAGATACACTTGTTTCATAGAAAGCACACAAACAGGGGGAGGGGCAGAGGGAGAGAGAGAGAATCCCAACTCAGGGCTCCATCTCATGACCTGAGATCATGACCTAAGCCGAAATCAAGAGTCAGATGCCTAATCAACTGAGCCATCCAAGTGCCCCTGCATTTGGTGATTTTTGATGGTGAACTCATATTTGTTTTATTTTAATTGATGGTAATCCTAGGGCTTTCTATCAAAAATGCTTTAATCCAGTGGTACCTGGCTGGCTCAGTTGGTGGAGCATGGGAATGTAGTTCTTGGGTTCATAGAGCCTACTTAAAAAAAAATGCTTTAATCCAGACATGAATTTTTTTTTTATTCTTTATGCCAAAGTTAGACTATATCCTGGGAATATTTTAACCCTTGGCTTAATCAGAAGTCTTGGGTTTAGCATCTTTACCTTGAGACTTGTTCAGGGCTCAGTCTCTTGAAGTGATGGCCGTTAGATAGTTCTGCCTCTCCCTGCTCCCCAGTATTTGCTCTCTGTTCAGGGATCTTTACAGTAGTTTTAATGAAGGGATTTCATTTTGTTGCTATTTTTTTGATTAAGACTATGGAACCCTTGGAGAGATTTTCTTATTTTTTTTAGAATTCTGTGATGTACTTTAATGTATGTTTTATAGGCAGTCTAGTTGGGAGCTCCCTTTGGTATTTCTGGTTGTCCATGCTGCCAGATGCCAATGCTTGTTCTTTCATTTTATCATAGTGTCATTCATTACCTCTCACCTAGAAAGAAGAATACATCCTATCTTGCCCCTCTTAATTTCACTCTCTCCAATTTTAATTTATCCTATATATGATTGCCAATTTGATGTATCTGTGAACATATTAGACATTTTAAATTCGAAGTACCTGGAAGTAAGAGTTTCAAGCTCAGGAAAGATAGGGATCCTAGAGATTCGTGAGTCACTGATACAATTATCAATGCCATGAGAGTAGGTAAGGTTAGTCGGGAGACTAGAGTAGTGAGTGTTAAGTAAAAGAGTACAAAACCACATCAACTTCATGGAGTAGGCAGAGAAAAACAAACTAGGAAAAGAGACTAAGAAGATGAAATGCTAGAAATTGGAAAACAAAAGAATGGCATCTCCAAATGCAAGGAAAGAGGGGGTTTCAAAGAGGGGAAATTTATAGGGTCAGATGTGGCCAGAAGGGACACAAGAGGAGAACTTATCATTTGTTTGATCATTAGAAGATGGACGATTACTATTGCCAGAGAAGTTTCAGTGTAGTGGCAAAAGAGCAGTGACTATATGAATAAGTACTGTAACTTGCTATAATCCTCTGTCCTCTTTCTCATTACATCCTACCTCCACTGAATGTATAATGAATCAGTAAGCTTCCTGGAACAAAAATAAACACAATTGCCTTCTGAACTTCCATAGGTGAAAGAGATTCAGGCAAATACTGGGGAGGCTAGTAAGAAGGGCAAAGGAGGAGATTGGGGATAACAGTCATTAATTTTTTGCTTGTATTTTACTTATTATAGCTATTTTATTAATGAAATTTATGTAATCTGTTAGTAATAACTAATATTCCATATTTCTGATATTTTCTGGTTGAAATCTTTATATTTTATACTACCATATTTCACAATATGAAATAGAGAACAGAGAACAACTTGGTTACTTAACTGCTTGTTTCTGGAGTCAGAAAAACTCACAATTATATCTGTGCAAATCTTCACATTCAGACCAAAAAAAAAAAGACCTTTCCTTCTAAACCTCTGTGCAAAAAGTATATGATCATGACTTGCTTTGCTCTCAAGATCTTAAACTTTCTGTAAAGGTAATTAATTTAAACTGTAGTTTTCATGTATCTTAGCATAAAGTTAAACTTTCACCATAAAGATAGTACGATTGTGAAAAAAGAGCAGACAAGTAATACTTCACATATTTAGAAAAATACTTTAAAATATTTAGAAACCATTTATTATTGTTATTTGAGGGCAGCCTAGGATGTATTTTTTCCAAAACTCACAAATACAACTTTTGTAATAATACATTTGACTTCTCACTTTTTACCTAAGAAACACAAAAGTGTAATTATTTGACTTGTTAATTACTTTTATCCTGCTATATTCTCCATATCCTCATACTTTTCTCTTACAAAACACAGTAAAGTTAAAAATTATGAGAGACCTGCTTCCTAAGCCAGCCTTTCCCTATATTCAGCAGCACCTACTCTGGGTTCTGCTTATCCTTGAAAGTTGCATTGAAGGCCTCTATGGACGCTTTGCCTCAGCTCCCCCTAAATGCAGTAACATTTCACATACAGAAAATCCCAACAGGCAAATTCCCTACTGTTTGAAAATATTTTTCCCATCAGAAGAATAAAAAACAATAACATAAATACATTAAACTAGCATCAGAAGAATAAAAAACAATAACATAAATACATTAAACTCTCTCCTTTTATGGTTTTGTTCACACCTAACATAGAACATTTGTTTTCTTCCTTATAGGTACCAGAGATTTGAAAAGGCATTTCTGTTAGCTGTTGACATTGGTGCTCGTGACCTGTTTATGGTGAGTCATTCCCAGAGATGATTTTGTGCCTTCAGTTCTAAGGCTGAGTAAGTTGTCAGCTTTTGTGACCATTAAAAAGGATTAGTGTCATTTGTGCCTTAGACACATGGTGGGAAAGCATTATTCCATCTTGGCTTGCAGCTTTGCCTTCATGAAACTGGTCAATAGCCATCTAGTCTCTTTTGACTTGTTGACATTTTCCTTGCCAGGGCCCAAAGGATATTTTATGTTTTCTAAGAATTTATAATTCTTGAACTTTTCATGTACCTTGATGTGGTGGGATGACACCTTTCTATCTAATAAGCTTAAATGTCTTTTTAATCCATCCTCTGAAGTACAGCTACAGAAGTTAGGGCATAAGGCAAAATATGTACCATAGATTTTGAATGTACTCAGTTTGTCCCTTACCTTTTAGTGTGAAGTAACAAATTATGAATGTTCTCACTTGTATTTTTAAAGTAACCACAGTGCAAAGTAGATCCAAGGGGTTATAAATTCACATACACTTTAATCCTCCCATTTATTAGCTAACAGCAGTAAAATTGGCCAGTTTCTTACAGCTCCTTGTGCTTTGTATCATTTTCTTGTAAGATCTTTTACCACAATGTCACAGTGAGATCAGATGAAGGTGGTGTTCCTTTTCTGGTTTCCTAGCGTATTCTGCTCCACAGAAACTTCATTGTCGTTAAAGAAACAGTAAAGCAAAAAACTTCTTGAAAGCCAAAAAATTCTAGAAGCCTCTTTTACCTGAATCTTCTGCACAATGAAGACATTTTTGTAGTTTAAATTAAGCTTTGATGGCTTAGTTGTTAAAATGGGTTCATGGCTTTAGGTCACTTGTCTTTGGAATGAGTTTGTTGTTTAAATTCTAGCTTTGCACCATTCATTTAAATTGTGCTTTCATTGATCATGAAAAAAATCTTTCTAATTACTTCAAAACTATGAACCTTCTGTTATTTATCATCTGTATTTTGTATTTTGTTCTGTCAAATTGAACAGGCATATTCATATATTGATGGAAGGTTTTACTATTTAATATTTACAATATCTGTGCATGTTGACATCACAGTTCAGAAATTATAACACTTTTTCGATTTTTTGATCCCACTGACTTTATCTCCACCTTTTCACCTCTGCCTCTGTTCCCTCTAGTAAAGGTAGATTTTCTTCATATTTCTTTACTTGTAAGGTTGTTTTGGGTCTAGGGACACTGTACTGAAAGACTTTGTAAACTGGTAAGTAGTATACGGATATCATGTGTTACTGCTGTTAAGACAGGGCAACTATTGTTGCTGTACATGGCTATGTAAGAAATAATGAAGACCTGAAACAGGGCCTGAATTACACGAATGTAAAGGAGAGGATATTTTTAAAGCAAAATCAAGATGATTCAGCAAGACCTTAGATGAAAATAAAATATTTTGATTGTAAGAATAAATAATACTATAATAGAAAGGAAACATTACCATAAAAGTATAGAGAACAAAAGTAAAATCCACTTGAAATCTTGCAGTCTAGAAATGAATATCCTTTAAAATACCTCTCTGTGTGAATATGCGTGTATGTTTGTGTGTGTGTGTACTGTACATTTGTTTATAACTTGAGTTTTTTCATTCAACAATATAACACAGTTTTCCATATCAGTAAACATAAATCTATATAATTTCTTCAGTGTTTACATTGTATTCCATTTTATGGGTGGTACTGGGATAAAAACAGGCATATGGATCAATGGAACAGAATAAAGGGTCAACTAGTCTTTGACCAAGAACATACAATGGAGAAAGGATAGTCTTTTCAATAAGTAGTGGTAGGAAAATTGGATATCCACCTGCAAAAGAATGAACCTAGACCTTACATCACTCACAAAAACTAACTAAAAATGAATTGAAGACTTAAATGTAAGACTGGAAACCATAAAACTTTTGGAAGAAAACATCAAGAAAAAGCTCCTTGACATTGGTCTTGGCGATGTTTGTGTGTGTGTATATGTGTGTGTGTGTGTGTTTGGTTTTGTTTTTATAAGACAACAAAAAAGCATAGACCCCAAAACCTAAAATATAAGTGGGACTTGGGGTGATCTTACTCTTGATCTCAGCTCAGATCTTGATCTCGTGGTCATGGATTCAAGCCTCACATTAAAAAAAAAAAAAAGACAAAATTAAATAGGACTATGTCAAGTGAAAGAGCTTCTGCACAACAAATGAAATAGTCAAAATAATGAAAAGGCAATCTACGAATGGGAGAAAATATTTGGAAGTCATATATCTGATAAGGCGTTAATATCCAAAATATATGAGGAACAAATATAAATCAATAACAAAAAAAATCAAATAATTCAATTAAAAAATGAGCAAAGGACCTAAAAAGACATTTTTTTCAAAAAGGACATGCAGATGGCCAACAGGTACATGAAAAGGTACTCAACATCACTAATCACCTGGGAAATGCAAATCAAAACCACAATCTGATAACACCTGATACCTGTTAGGATGTCTTTTATCAAAAAAGAGATTATAAAGGTTGACAAAGATGTGGAAAAAAGGGAACCCTTGTTCACTGTTGGTGGGAGTATATACTGGTGCAGCCACTATGGAAAATAATATGGAGGTTCCTCAAAAAATTAAAAATAAAACTATATGATCTAACATTTCCACTTCTGGGTAATTATCCAGAGGAAAAAAAAAATCAGTATCTTGAAGAAGTATCTACCCGTGTCTACTGCAGCATTATTCACAATAGCTAAGATGTGAAAACAACCTAAGTGTCTACTGACAGATGAAGGAAATCTTGCCATTTGCTATATCATTGACGAACCTGGAGGGCATTACAGTAAGGAAAATAAACCAGGTAGAGAAAGACAAATATTGTATGGCATCAGTTGTATATGGAATCTTAAAAAGTAAGTAAAAACTAATCTCACAGAAATAGAGTAAAATGGTAGTTGCCAGGGGCTAGTTAATGCTCTTTGTGCCCTGTTTTAAAAATCTTTTACTACCCCAAGGTCTTGAAAATTCTTTTTTTTTTTTTTAAGTTTTTATTTTTAAGTAATCTCTACTCCCAGCATGGGGCTCAAAGTCACACACACACACACCACCCCCCAATCAAGAGTTGCATGCTCTACAGACTAAGCCAGCCAGGTACCCCAAAACTTCTTTTTATCTTCCAGAATTTGTATTATTTTAATGTTAACATTTAAACCTACAATCCACCTCTGTTGATTTTTAAGAGGATATAACTCAAAATTGATTTCTATCATATGTATATGCAGTGGGCTTGTGACATTTATTGACAAAATTGTCCTTTGCTTGCTGCTTTACAGGGTCACCTTTGTCATAAATGAGGTTCCCACAGAAATGCACATCAAAATTCTAATGAGATATCACCTCACACCAGTCAGAATGGCTAGTATCAAAATGATAAGAAATAACAAGTGGTGGGGGCACCTGACTGGCTCAGTCTGTGGAGTGTAACACTCTTGATCTTGGAGTTGTGAGTTTGAGCCCCATGTTGGGTATAGAAATTACTTAAAAGTATTAAAGAAAAAAAAAAAAAGAACAAGTGGTGGCAAGGATGTGGAGAATGTTGGCAGGAATGTAAATTAGTGCAGCCACTATGGAAAATGGTATGGAGGTTCCTTAAAAAATTAAAAATAGAAATACCATATCCAATAATTCTGCTACTGGATATTTACCCAAAGAAAATGAATACACTCGGAGTGCCTGGGTGGCTCAGTCGTTAAGCGTCTGCCTTTGGCTCAAGTCATGATCCCAGGGTCCTGGGATCGAGCCCCACATTGGGCTCCCTGCTCAGCGGGAAGCCTGCTTCCTCTCTCACACTCCCCTTGCTTGTGTTCCCTCTCGCTCTCTCTCTCTCTCTGTCAAATAAATAAATAAAATCTTAAAAAAAAAAAAAAGAAAATGAATACACTCATTTGAAAAGATATATGCACCCCTATGTTTATTGCAGCATTATTTACAATAGCCAAGATATGGAAGCAACCCAAGTGTCCATCCATAAATGAATGGGTAAAGAAAATGTGATGTATGCATATACACACACACGCACAATGGAATATTAGCCATAAAAAGAATGAAATCTTGTCATTTGTGACAACATGGATGGACCTAGAGGGTATTATGCTAAGTGAAATAAATCAGGCAGAGAAAGACAAATACAATATGATTTCACTTATATGTGGAAGCTAAAAATAAAAACAAATGAACAAACAAACACCAAAAAGAAACAAACAGGCTCATAAATATAGAGAACAAAATGGTGATCGTCAAAGTAGACGGGTGTAGGGGGATGGGCAAAGTAGGTGAAGGGGATTAAGAGCTACAATCCTGCACATATAAAATAAGTTAGGGAGATGAAAAGTACAGCATAGGGAATATAGTCAATAATATTGTAATAACTTTGTGTGTTGTGTGTTGACAAATGGTAACTACACTTATGGTAAGCATTGCATAATGTATAGATCTATTGAACCACTATGTTGTATACCTGCAAATAATGTAATACTGTATGTCAACTATAATTCAATGAAAATAAACCAAGTGCCCATATATATGTGTAGGTCTACTACTAGACTCTGTCCTTGCTCCAATACCAAACTGCCTTAATTACTTTATAAATATTTATATCCAATAGTGTAAGTCTTCCAAGTTTGTTTAAATGTGTTGTTCTTACTCTAACTTGTGATAGATGCTTAAGTCATGGATTTTTCAGCTTCTGTTTCTTAATGTATGCATTCAAGGGTATAATTTCCATTTAAGCATGGCTTTGATTGCATTCTGACAATTTTGTGTGTCTATTTTTCATTATCATTCAGCTCAAGCGATTTCTAACATAACTGTTGGGAATTCTTCTTTGCTCTAGGTTTCTTAAAGTGTATTTCCTAATTTCAAACAATAAAACATTTTCTAGGGAGACACACACACACACACCCCTTAACCTGTTCTGTATTACATCAACCCTTTGAAATTTATTGAAATTCC